AAGTAGGTCACCGCGATGACGTCCAGCTGGTCCCAGCTGCTCCAGCCCAGGTGGAGCTGCGCGCACCAGTCGGTAAAGGCGCCCGCCCTCCGCTGATAGTCCTTCGGCGTGGCCATGCTGACGGACCTCTGCTCGAGGTAGGTGATCCCCATCAGGAGCCCCCCCCTTTAAGGCCTCGCACTGGCGAGCAACTGCCGCCTGCAGCTGTCAGGAACCCCGCGCCGGCAGCTAGGGGGGCGGGCTGGGGCAGAGGGGCTTGTCCTGTCGGCATCGGGGGTCGCGCTGAGCGGCCCCGCTTCCCCGCGGCGGCCTCGAGGATCACGCAGGCGCCCACCAAGAGCAGTAGCCACCTCGGCGTCAACGGTCTTGATGTAGCTGAGGCTGCGCGACGGCGCGTCCGCGGGGCTGAGCTCGCCAGGGGCCCACCTCGTGAAGGCGCGGTGCCTGCGGGCCAAGGAGTCGGCGCAGATCTCCCAGAGAACGCTGCGCTGCTGCGGCGAGGGCCCGCGGCCCTTTCCGATGGCCAGGGCGAGCGACATGTTGTCGACCAGGCACGCGACCCTCTTCCCGAAGGCGCCCGCGGCCCTGAGCTGGCGGCGCAGCGCGGACGCGACGGCGAGCCCCTCCGCGCGGCAGATGCCGAAGGAGCCCCCCCACGAGAACGAGTGCGCGATGGCCCGGCCGTCCTCGGTGAGAAGGTTCGGGTCGACCTCGCCGAAGGACTTGTCCCAATTCTTGGCTTCGTCCGTCGGCAGGCTGCCAGGGCCCCGAAGTACAGCGCCAGGAGAGCCAGGCCGCAGGGCGTGCTCACGCGCGCGCGCGCTGACTCCTCGAAGAGGCATCGCCACCTCTCCGCAGTGCGGCCGATCTCGGCCACCGCGTCGCGGTCGCAGCGGCGGCGGCAGACCCCGCGGCCCCGGCCCGAGGCATCGCTGCCCGCAACCTCGGCGTGCCAGTCCGCGTTGGTGAAGACGACGAAGAGCGGCAGCAGCGAGCGGACGCGCCAGAGCTCGCGTCGCACGGACGGCCAGAGCGGCATCGCCTCGTCCTTCGCCGCTGCGACGAAGGCGTAGACCGAGTCGAAGATGACGAGGGGGCACCTCTTGAGCAGCATGACCCAGGTGCAGTGGCCCACGACGATCTCCAGGATAGGCCCGCGAACCTCCGGGCGTCGGAGGAGCTCCTCGACGGCGAAGCGGAGCCGCCAGGCACGGCGCGCGGAGACCAGCGCGGAGCGGTGGTGACCGTCGAGCTCGAGGCCCACGAAGCTAGTGGACCTGGTAGCCTCCACCTGCTCGTGGACGACAAAGCCGAGAGAGGAGAGCCCCTGCTCAACCTTGCGGCCCACGGCCTGAACCTTGGCACGCTGCGTGCCAGCGACGAGGTAGTTGCCCGCGTGCGCGGCGCCCGCAGCTGGCAGCTCGGCTGCGAGAACCACCCCGCGGCTGCGGTCGCGGACCTGCTGCACGGGGTCAATGCGGGCCAGGGCGAGCGCGGCCTCTGAGACGCACTGGCAGAAGTGCAAAGCCCAGAACCGGCCCATCGGCAAGCTGGCGAGCTCCGGGAGCAGCCGGTCGGACTCCTGGATCGCGACACCGTCGAGCTCAGAAATGCCAGCAAGCCCCGCGCGCGCAGGCGGCAGCGAGAAGAACTCGCAGGTCCTCGTGGACCTGCGTGGCGTAGAAGGCGTTGGAGATGCCCCCGCTGCTGAACCACGCGTCGCCGCCGCCCTGCGTCTCCACGCGAGCGAACGCGCTGCCGCTGGGCAGCTCGGTGCAAGGAGGTGGCTTGAAGCGCGCGTTGCAGACGCGGGTGTCGAAGATGAGCCGCTGTTGGCCCGACTCCTTCGCGACCGCGAAGACCCCCGGGAGCCGGCGGCGGCCGCGAGCAGGTGAGAGGCGCAACATGCCCCTGCCCAAGGGCTCGCTGACGAACTTCCCATAGGTGGCGGGGTGTCGTAGTCCAAGATCAATGTAGGGTTGAGAGAGTCCGAGATCTCGACGAAGGGCCGCCGTTCCCTCAGGTGGGCGATGCACGTGGGCCTTCCAGTCCTGCAGCCACAGACGGTCAGCCTCCAAAAGGGCGTCGCGAAGCGCCGCAGGCGCAGAGCCGCCAGAAGGCCAGGACACCAGGTCCTTGCTGCAGGAGACCACGTTGCCACGCCCTGCGGAGTAGAGCGGGCAGCTGGAGCAGATGTCGGAGAGCGAGCTGGAGCGGGATATGTCAGCTGGCGGGCCGCCGAGCTTGACATACTGCGCAGCGATGTAGTCGAGGGGCCGCTGCTGCAAACCTGTGGGGCGCTTCCGCGTCGGAGGTGCCCCGCCCCCGCTGAGCCAGTCGAGCGCCTCGATGCCGTCGTTGGCCCAGTCGATCCGAGCCAGAGCACCGCCGCGACCACCAGCATCTGGGGGGGCTTCACGAGGTAGAAGTGGAAGAGGGAGAACGTTTCGCCGACAACTGACGGCCATGGCGTGAGGACCACGCTGTCAGGAGCGAGGGGCCAGAAGGGAGCCCTCCAGGGTAGCCGAGGTCCTGGCGGCCGCTGCACGCACGATGCAGGGCGCTTGCTCGGACTTCCCAACCTTGCCAGCGCCGCCGCCCTGTCCACCGCCGCGGCCTCCAGTAGGCGGGTGGAGCAGCTGCCGCTCCTCGCGCGCCTTGCGGCTCTCCTTGGCGATGGCCGACTCGGCAGCCAGCTGCTTGGAAATCCACTCAGACAGGGCAGGGCGGACCATGAGCCCCCTTTGTCGATTGCACCCCTGTGAAGAAAAACTGCTCGTTGCCGCCGTTGCCGAGGGATCGCGAGCACACCAGCTTGTCCTTGTACCGCTCTTCGCAGAGCTGGAGCTGTCGCGCGGCGAGCTCCATGGATGCCAAGTTTGACACATCGATTTGATCGTACGACTGGGCCACCTGGATGATCTTCGAGAACTCGTGGTGCATCGAGACGATGGGATCATCCACGGCCACCGTTGACCCCAAGGCAGCCTTCCACGCCAAGTGGTGTCCCATCGGCGAGCCTCCGTGTTCTCCACCCAGTAGGTCGCGACCCAGTGGTAGGTGGAGGGGCCAGGCACTGGCCAGTCGGGGAAGCTCGTCGGCCGCTTGAGCTGGACGCTGTCTCTGAACTCCCGATGACGCTGGCCTTGCATGTCGTAGGCCGTGGCGAGCGTCCGAAGATCCCCAGGCCCAGGAGCGGCTCCGCCATCTGGCGACGCGGGGGCTGCAGCGGCGGCGCCGTCTCCCCCAGCGGCAGGGGCCGCAGCAACCAGGGCGGCCAGCCCAGCGGCAGGGGCGCCCGCCGCGCCGACAACGGCTGCCAGGGCGGGGGCGGCGGCGGCGGCGGCGGCGGCGGCGGCGGCGGCGGCCGCAGCCGCGGGCGCGCCCGCGGCGATGCCGCCTCCCAAGGGCGCTCCGCCAGCGGCCGCGGGGATGGCGGGCAAGCCACCGCCTCCAGCAGCACCAGGAGCGGGGGCAGCAGCAGGAGGGCCGCCGCCAACGCCACGCTCGTGCTCCGCCATCTTCGCGGCTCCGAGGGCGCAAACCTGGGCCAGCTGGGCGACCGTCGGCACCGCGGCGAAGTCATATCGTCGCAGGCCAGCAGGTATGACGGCACCCAGCGGTGCTGCAGCAGGGCCCCACTTCTTCCACCAGTTGCGGATGTCCGCGTTCCCAGGGTCGTACTCCTCGACGTACACAACAGAATCGGGCGAATCCACTCGCACAAGCTGCTGTGCGGTCGCGGGGAGGTCGCCCTCCAGGGCGGGCCGCCTGGCGCGGCCCCGGCAGGGGAGTCGGGCCGCCGCCGCGGCGAGCGAAAACCCCCAGCGCAGGAGCTCGGAGGCCAGCAGCAGCAGGCCGCGGCCCGCTGCCCGCCTCGCAAGCGGGGCGCGGCGGGCAGAGCGAGGGGCAGGCTCGAGTGGCCTCCCTCGCGTCCAAGGCGGCCGCCAGGCAGTCAGCCAGCGGCTCCTGGATCCCAGTGGCCTCGCCCAGCGCCGGGAGCGGGCCCGCCTCCAGCGGCGGGAAGGGCGCAGCCGCCGCGGGCACGCATGGGGCCGCGGGCTCGGCGGGCTGCAGCCACCAGCGCGCCAGGAGCAGCAGAATCGCGTTGCCTGCTAGCGGGAGGCGGACCCCGGAACCTGCGAAACGCATCCGGGCGGAGGCCTCTCCCCCCAGCAAAAGACTTGAGCCGACGCGGTCGCGGAAAGATGCGTGACCACGACGATCATCTTCATCATCAGCAGCAGCATCCTCATCATCGTCACCACCATCGTCATCATCATCATCGTAATCATCAGCAACATCAGCAAGAACAGTATCACCAGCATCATCAGTAACAGCATCATCAATATCATCAGCATCGTCATCGTCAACACCATCATTGTCACCATCGTCATCGTCATCATCATAACTATCTGCATCATAATCATCATAAACCCTCGCGCAGGAGGATGAACCCACGAATATTTTCCCCCTTACGCAATGTGATGGGAAGCAGAGCTCGCTCGCTGCATTGCTAAAGATAGCTCCTCCTCCTCCTCCTCCTCCTCCTCCCTGTACTGGACGATCGATACCGGGCAACCGCCATCAATCCAACTCCAAACCCAATCTGGACCTGTCAGGCCTGACGGCCCTTGACTCTCTTTAGAGTGGCCTGGCATGCGCCGGTGTAGTTGAATAAACAGGTTGATGCGCCTTCTCCACATTCCCTCAATCTTCCATCCTCGAAGTGTCAGAACTCCTGACTCCTCCCTCCTCCTCCTCCTCCTCCTCCTCCTCCTCCTCCTCCTCCTCCTCCTACACATCCTCATCCTCCTCTTCTCCTCCTCCTCCATCTCCCTCATCATCGAACTCCTGCTCCTCCTGCTTCCCCTCCTCCTCTTAATCCTTCTCATTCTCATCACTCTTCCCATTCCCCTCCTCCGCCTCCGCAATTTCTTCCCCGTCCCCTCAAACCTTGTCCTTCTTCTGCCTTCTAGCGTAGCACCCCAGCGGCCCACCTTCTGCTGAAGCAGGCGCACCGGGGCCGCGGCTTGTTCGCCTATCGTCTCCTCCGTCATCGCGCCACGGTAAGAGCAGAGCAATTGGGTCTGGGATTATGTGCGCCCATCGGGGGGGAGGCTGGAAAGGATGGGTGGTACACGGACGGTTGGACGGATGAGTTGGTGGATGCATTCGGGTCCGCGGGGTACACCAGTACGGTCCGCTCGTGAGGTACGTTTGCTTACTCATATGACGTATGAACGTATACCCACAGCTTTTGTTCCATCGAAACGGCGGTGGAGTGAAACTACCGTTCTGCAGGCTCGGAGGTATTTCTCCGAACGCCACACCAAGGCCCGAACAACACCCCAAAGACACATAAAGGTGTCCGCGCCCGACCCTGGCCGCATCAACGGACGCGCGGTCCACAGGACCCCCCATACAGTTCTAAACAGGTTTCCGCCTGCGGGGGGGGGCCCTGGGGTCATGCACTCTGTGAATTCGAACTCTATTAAGGAGAGTAGATGGAGCCTGGTTTGGGCGATTGTGCCTGGGACGTCCTCAAGCCTTGGTTAGGCCCTTGGCTCGGCCCTTGGCTTGGCCCTTGGTTTGGCCTGGTTTGCTCGCGCGACCCGCCTGAGGCATCCTCAAAATTTGCCTGGCTTGGTCCCTGGTTTGGTTTGGTTTGGGCCCGCTTCGCCTGAGACGTCCTCCCGAATTGCCTGGTTTGGCCCTGGTTTGGGCCTGGTTTGGGCCCAGTTTCGCTTGAGACGTCCTAGAATTTGGCTTGGTTTGGCTTTGGTTCGGGCCTGGTTTCGCTTGCGACTTTCTCAGAATTTGCTTGGTTTGGCCCTAATGTGGCCTGGTTTCTGTCCAGTTCCGCTTGAAACGTCCTCACAAGTTGCCTAGTTTGGCCCTCGTTTGGCATGGGTTGGGCCCGCGAAAAAACTCACGAAGCGAAGAATCAGCGAAAGTACGTACGGTTGAGTAACATCCGTTATGAGCGTCATGCGGTCTCAGTACACAGTGGGATGTGTCACTTTGTCTTCGACACTGAATGGGAATTAACATAGTGTCATGAATACCCACTGGAGTCCACATGTAGCACAACTGCGCTACAAAAAAACTGGCGGCATGGGTGCGGACATTCCCAACACGCTGTGGATCGGCATGGGCATGTGTGGCGGCGTTCGGAGAAAACCTTTCCGAGGCTGGAGAACGACCAAGACGGTCTGCTCGCGAAATAAATATCAATGCCCGTGGATGCGGATCCAAAGCCGGCTGGATGTACATTCGCACGCACAAAGACACGCACACGCACACGCACACACGCAGACACACACACACACACACACATACACGCACGCACGCACGCACGCACGCACGCACGCACGCACGCACGCACGCACGCACGCACATACACACACACACACACATCGAGCATCCGCGGCCTGGCGAGTGCCTATTTAAGCGGTCTCGTCGCACTGTCCAATGCGAGCGGGAATCGATGAACGACGGGCCGAATCTGGCTGCAGCACACTCACGTACAAAGCAAACACTCACACTATAATCACCGCGCGTTTCACACGCGCTCGCGCTCCATCTGTCTTACAGCCTAGCGCACCCCGCGAGGGAATCATCGTCCTGGGTTCGTAAGTCTCGCGCGACGTAGGACCAACCGCGGTCGTTGCGGAAAAAGTGATCAGGGTGAGTGCGATACGGAAGCGGCGGATAGGGCTCGAAGTTTGGCGCTCAGGGCTTGGGAATGAAATCCATGCGAAGGGGTTAAGATGTCGGGGCAGTGGCTTGAGCTAGTTGTGGTAGTGTTCGGCTCAGGGATCATGCGAGGGTCAGGGAAGCGTCTGGATCAGGATCCCGCCAGACCTCTAAGCGTTGGTGGTGCAACGATGTTTCTCTCCTTTCCAAGACCCTTCTTCTTTTTACCTAACAGCGAAGACTGATAGGTTTCTAGTAGGGTCAAAAGAGAGCATCCTGACGCCCCAAGGGGGTCTGGGCGCGATCCGGGGGAGGGTGCCGGGGACTTTTTTTTAGCCAGCGGTTACACACTTCGTAGACTTCGAGGTCCCAGAACTCCATTCCCGGGCCACATTCTGAATGCCCGGAGCCAACTGTAGGCCACTTCGTGGTCTTCGAGTTCCCAGAACTCCATTCCTGGGCCACATTTTGAATGCCCGGAGCCAACTGTAGGCCACTTCGTGGTCTTCGAGTTCCCAGAACTCCATTCCTGGGCATGATTTTGAATGCCCGGAGCCAACTGTAGGCCACTTCGTGGTCTTCGAGTTCCCAGAACTCCATTCCTGGGCATGATTTTGAATGCCCGGAGCCAACTGTAGGCCACTTCGTGTTCTTCGAGTTCCCAGAACTCCATTCCCGGGCCACATTTTGAATACTGAGGCAGGCTGATGCTGAGGCTGAGGCAGGCAGGCTGAGGCTGAGGCAGGCTGAGGCTGAGGCCGAGGCTGAAGGCAGGCGGAGGCTGAGGCTGAGGCTGAGGCTGAGGCTGAGGCTGAGGCAGGCTGAGGCTGAGGCTGAGGCTGAGGCTGAGGCTGAGGCAGGCTGAGGCTGAGGCTGAGGCTGATGCAGGCTGAGGCTGAGGCTGAGGCTGAGGCCGAGGCTGAAGGCAGACTGAGGCTGAGGCTGAAGCAGGCTGAGGCTGAGGCTGAGGCAGGCTGAGGCTGAGGCTGAGGCAGGCTGATGCTGAGGCAGGCTGAGGCTGAGGCTGAGGCTGATGCAGGCTGAGGCTGAGGCAGGCTGAGGCTGAGGCCGAGGCTGAAGGCAGACTGAGGCTGAGGCTGAAGCAGGCTGAGGCTGAGGCTGAGGCAGGCTGAGGCTGAGGCTGAGGCAGGCTGAGGCTGAGGCTGAGGAGGCTGAGGCAGGCTGAGGCTGAGGCTGAAGCAGGCTGAGGCTGAGGCAGGCTGAGGCTGAGGCCGAGGCTGAAGGCAGACTGAGGCTGAGGCTGAAGCAGGCTGAGGCTGAGGCTGAGGCAGGCTGAGGCTGAGGCAGGCTGAGGCTGAGGCTGAGGCTGAGGCTGAGGCTGACTGCCGTTGCCACTGCGACTGCCATCGCGAATGCGACTACGACTGCGAGAACAGCAGGATTCTACAACAGGAGTATCATCTGAATCTTAAGGGGAATGCTTCCAGATATGCTCCTACACATCGCTGTTAGGTTGCTTTGTCGGGATATTATTTGGGAAGGTGTGTGTGTGTGTCATTTCTCTTTACTAATACGTACACACGCCCTCCCCCTCCTGACACGCGATCCCCCACCCGACAAAGGACGAACCTGGAACCATGATCCCTCCACACCGTGCCTGTCAAAAACCATACACCACGCGCGTTGCAGCAACATCTGGACCATGCGAGAGCACCAAACGATCACGTTGCATTGTTTTTGTCAGGGACGAGGGGGGTGCCGGCATACTGCCTGCTGCGCGCAAGCCCAGCATCCCTGTAACAAGTACCAGTGGTTCCCACCAGGCCTTCGGGCTAAGGCGGTCTAGCGATGTCTTTCTTTTCTCTTCCGAGACCCTCTTCCCTTTTGGCGGGAGGGGGGGGGTACGCACCCCTTCCCCTCCCTGATGTTGCTTTGTCGGGGGGACCGCGAGGTGTCAGGGGGTCCGCGTTCGGCCAATGTGGCTCCTAGACGGCCTCCGATGCTCCAAGATGCTCCCCAAGGCGGCTCAAGATAACCGAGGAAGTTTCAACTAGCTTCCGACATGCCTCCAAGAGGCCCCAAGAAGGTCACAAGACGGCTCCAAGTGCTTTCGGAGCACCCTCAAGACCCTCCCAAGAAATCAACATCCTTCAAAACCCTACGGAACGTCGATGTTGTGTGCCTTCTCGCCTGTTCGCTCCCGCCCGATGCGAATTTGGGGCCTCAATATGGCCCCAATATGGCCCAAAAGAGCCCCCAGAAGGGTTCAAGAGGCCGCCGAGACGGGCCTAAGAGCGCCCCAAGAGGGCCGCAAGAGGCGGTTTCGAGGGCTCCTGGGGAGGGGAGGGGAGGGGAAGAAAGGACCCGTTCCTTCCTTTTGGTCGATGGCCTCCAGATGGTTTCAAGAGGCCCTCCAAGGCTGGCAAGGGACCCCCCGTAGAGAGCCGAGAGCCCAAAGACGGCCCCAAGAGCGCCCCAAGAGAGCCTCAAGAGCGTCCCACCAGGGCCACAAGAGGTGGTTTGCCTCCTCCTCCTCCTCCTCCTCCTCCTCCTCCTCCTCCTCCCCCTCCTCCTCCTCCCCCTCCGCCTCCTTTCGCCTCAAGCCATATAGGCTCGAGCACCAAGTCCTTCACCCCCGAGTGAAGGCCCGTGCTTGAACCTGCCCAGTCCCTTCACGGGGGGCTTGGGGGAGTGCGAGAATCTGTTTTACCCTCACATTCAGTTCTCGCCCACGAAAGCTGGGCATCTCCCTGTACTGTCATAGCATGGCACCACAGATTGTTTCTCGACCCTGGAGTCGGTGCAAGTTCTGCAAGCGGAACGAGTACAACGACAAGCTGGCGTTGTGTGACAACCGCTGTTGACGGTGCGGTCGACAAGTCAAGATTTTTCGGCCTCGCTCTCGTTCCGCCGAGAGGCCCAAGTCGGTCACTTTTGAGGACGAGCAGCCCTCCTCGAGTCCAGGCACTCCGAGGGGACGGCGAGGTGCTGCTGCAAGCAGCACAGGCAACAAGGAGCTTGTGTCCATCCTGCAGCAGGCGATGGCAGCTTCCACGGCCAACAAGGAGCTGCACGCCATCCTGAAGCAGCAGAGCGAGCGCCTCGCGGAGCAGGTCGCCACCAAGAGCGGCACTTCCAGCGAGGTCGACGCAGTGAAGAAAGCTGATGGAGCGTGGAAAGCTGCCAACAACAGGCACGAGCAGATGATTAGTCAGGTAGTCAGATTGAGGAAGCAATTGGCTGCCGCCGAGAGCAAGGAGCGCGAGGCAGCCCTCGAGCTCGCGCGCACGGCGGCGGCCAAGACGGCGGCGACGGAGGCGCTGGCGCAGGCAGTCGGAGTGAAGCCCCAGGTGGCGACCGCTCCAGCCGCCGATGGCGCGCCGTCGGTGTT